AAAAACTACAGATTCGGCCTCTGTATCTATAATAATGTTTATTTCAATAAGATTTTCCAATAAATATTTAATGTACAGATTCGGCTTAGTTACAATTTTATTATATGTAGAGATTTATATTATTTCTCTCATCTTATATTATATTTTATAGCTTGGGAAAAATATACCTGAAACTATAAAAAACATAAAATATAAGTATTGACGCTCTCAATTAAACGGTGTAGAAGTTTGAAGATATTTATTAGTATATCATTAGAGCCGATCTCTGATTTTACCTATAAAAAAAGGTTTAAGTTTATGTCATTCAATAATATACTTTAATTGTACGGGAGAGAGAGTTCAAAATTGATTTCCGTAGACTATCTACGGTCTCACTAATAAATGCCTTAGATAAGGGATTATTGGAAATGGTACATGTTTTTTGGTTTGGATGGTTAAAAAGTGTATGTATTTATTCTTTTTTTTAATGTTAAACTAGCTTTTATCTATGACTTTATATATAAATATTATTAAAAATGGTCCCTGTTTTTAGATTTAAGTAGACGAATAAAAATTTTAACTATTTTTTTAAACTGTAGATTTTAGCTATTACAAGATTCACATACACACAAACAGACTGCACAATAATAAAACACTTTACTTTAACTTTATCTTCAAAATTTTAAGTTAAAATTGATATCAAAATGAATAGATTTTATAATGGTGGTACTATCTATCTATACATATAATAAAATTCTGAGTCAAATCTGTACATTAAATATTTTTTAGAAAATCTTATTGAAATAGTCTTTATTATCGTATCGATAAGAGGCCGAATTTATAGTTTTTAGAATTTTTGTATGTCTGCTTGTCTGCCTGACGTGGAATTCATCACGAGAAAACCACTGGACAGATTTTGATGAAATTCGGTATGATGTTAGCTAGTTATTCTGGTCAACATATAGGATACTTTTTACTGCGGAAAAATATCTGATGAACCCGATCGGAGCGATGGCGAGTCGCTAGTTACGAACGATAATTTATCTTCACTAATGCCACTTCCGTATAATATTAGTTCTATGACATTAAGGATGCATTCCAGTTCATAAAAGCCCTAAAAACAGAGTTAAAATAGCTTGAATGGGATGTTGTAAGTTTTTTCTTATTTATCATTCTATCTTCACGGCTCGTCGTTTTCTAAAGATACGATAGGTACATCCCTTAAGTGCTTTATTTAAAAGTATCGTTTTTTTTATAAATTACTTTAGTTTTTATTAACAATAGACTTCGCAAGCACAAACTTTTTTGCAACAATTTGACGTCACGTTTGGCGCAGTTCGTAGTGACCCTACTTGCTGTGCCAGCGGTCGCGGGTTCGAGTCCCGCTGGGGGCATTCATTTGTGTGATGAGCATGAATGTTTGTACTCCAGTCATGGGTGTTGATATTTATAATATGTATAGGTATGTATTTGAAGTTATATACATGTAGTGTATCAACTATCTGGTATCCATAACACAGGCCTCGTAGCTTACCATGGAACTAGATGGTGCTGTGTGTTAATGTACCAACATATTTATATTTTCAATCATTGTAAATTAAAAGAGAAGCCGTGGCTAAAAGTTAGCTTTTTACATATAAATAGCGCTCATTTCACTAAAAATATGTATAATTTTTCAATTTCCCATGAAACGCGCCCATATAATGTTAGTTGTATTAATTAAACTTCATAACGTATACAACAAACAGACGGACAAACTAATTTATAGCCACCAATTAGAAGGTATGAGATGATATCAGGTTTTTGTGATTGTCGCCGAGCTTAGGGAAGGAATGGAGTTGACTTTTATTATTAGTCATAGAAAAAATATTATTATTATAGCTATATAATAATATTTATTAACTTCGATAAAAGAATATTCTAAATTGCAATGATCTTTTTATTTATATATATCTCATTTTTTTACATAGCCATAAGCCATGTAATCGCACGAAAATAGGTTTTTTGACAAATCACCGTTCAGGCTCAGTCATTTTGTACAAAATAATTACAAATTATACACACAAACCATCCTAGTTTATAGTTCATTCTATTAATAAAAACCGTATCAAAATCCGTTGCGCGGTTTAGGAGAAGTAAGCGGAGAAATAGACAGACGCGGCTACTTTTTTCAACCGACTTCAAAAAGGAGGAGGTTCTCAATTCGCCTGTATTTTTTTTTTTTTTTTTTTTTTTTTATGTTTGTTACCTCAGAACTCCGTCATTTATTGACCGATTTGGACAATTTTTGTTTTGTTTGAAAGGGTATACTTCCAGATTGGTCCCATTTAAATTTCAAAAAAAAATACCATCCCTAAGGGTGGAAAAACAACTAATGATGAGTTTAACCTACTTCTAATTGTCATATTGACTTGAAACTTTGCAAGTATTTCTATTTCCGTTGATAGTACAGTGGTTCGGCGTTGTTGACCTGATCTGATGGCAAGGCCAGAAGGTGGATAGGTGGAACTCTTCAACGGCTAATAGTAGATACTTTGAGTTTGGGCTTATTTTGTTTGATTTGACAAGCCTAACACGTTAGAATCCTTACTTTGCTACTACTGTCTACACTAAAAAGGGAAAAATAAAAACTTTTTAACAAAAAAATAAAAACCGACTTCAAACAAAAGCACTAAAAAGTAAAAAATAACTGCTTGGTAGTTTTCATTCACTATACATACCTAATCAAATATTTTCGAAGTCGGTGTGCTTTGGCTAAGTAATTAAAGCCTACCTATTAAATACATACTTAATCAAATATTTTCGAAATCGGTGCCAGCCCACACAAAGCAAAGCACACCGACTTCGAAAATATTTGATTAGGTATGTATAGTAAATGAAAACTACCAATCAGTTATTTTTTACTTTTTAGTGCTTTTGTTTGAAGTCAGTTTTTATTTTTTTGTTAAAAAGTTTTTATTATACTATTTAAATATTATAGACTTAAACAAAGATCTTCATTTTTTACCTGTACCTATAATGAAAGCAATATATTTTTTACTAGAGATTCACCGCCTCTAGAAAAACAAAAATAAATCTATCCCACGGGATCCGTACATATTTCCGGGATAAACATATCCTATGTGCTATTCCACACTATACTTTATCTATGTGAAAAAAATCATCCAGATCTGGCGTGATTGAGAAACAAACACTCATCCAAACATCTAAACTTTCACATTAATAATATTAGTAAGAAAAAAATATATATACAACAATGTGTGCATATAAGAAAACAGATATTTATATACATAATCTTAATACAAATTACTGAGCCGAAATTGATATAACTACATGTTCGCTCACTTCCTTAAAAACTGTGTTTGACTAACAAAAAATTATTTACCATTAAAAGGTAATAAAACTGAACGTTTAAACATAATTGCAGACAAAATAAAAAAAAAGCATTTGTCACCTAAACCAAACTTATAGCGTAGCCTTGGATTACATCACTCGATTTAAAAAAGGCTAATTTACGTTTATAAGAAACTAGCGACTCACTCTTCGCTCGAATTCATCCTTAGGTTGATCCCCCATACAAACTTTCATCCCCATTTTGACCCCATTAAGGGATGATTTCGGGATGAAAAATTATCCTATGTCCTTTCCAGAGTCTCAAACGATCTTCTTACCAAATTTCATCTAAATCAGTCCAATAGTTTTTGAGTTTATTCGTTACAAACATACAAAAATACAAATTGTTCGTCTTTATAATATTAGTGTAGATATATCCACATTTAAAATGCCAAAATATTTTTTTAACACTAGATACTCCATACATTTCTCTATTCTGCACTAAACGCCTATCTCAACGAAGACAGGGTAGTGATACTTTTTATTATTACTTATTTTATTCACGACCATTTCACTTTTTTCACCGCGTCCAAAGAAATGACTCTATTAATTTAATCATTCGGCTACATTCTGATCTTTCGTCTACTTAAACTTTTGAACTTAATTTAAAATGCCATGAATATATTTTTAAATATATGTATGTATTTATGTATGTAATCAGCCCTTTTTTAACGTCCCACTGCTGGGCGTGGGCCTCCCTTCAATACGAGGGGAATCAGGCCATAGTCCACCACGCTGGCCAAGTGCGGGCGGACTGAGCATGTCTTTAGAAAATTTGCTAGGTTCTCTCAGACATGCAGGTTTCCTCACGATGTTTTCCTTCACCGTAGGACGAGTGGTAATCATATTTTTAAATAACCAATCAGATATTAGAAATCTCTGTTTAAGCGATAAAGCCGCCTCTTGTGCATTTTCCTGTCATTATATTGTTTTTTTTTTGTATGTTCACTAAAGTGTTTTTTTATTATTATATACCTCGTGGTTGCGCACGCGCAGCTTTTAACGTAAAAGCTTGCAAATCGAATCTGGATGGTATGTATCAATGTAATGAAAGTACAAATAACAGCTATCTTCTTATTAAATTACAGTGTCATTAGACTGTTATTATAAATTAAAAAGTGTGTCTGTTTCTTATTCATGGTACAACGGCATAACGACAAAATTTCAGTAAATCTTTTTTTTTTATTTCATTTTGAATTTTTTGTCGACTTATCAACAATAAAATAAATATTTGTATTAACTACTAAGACTACTCTACAATTTTTCTCTTTTACCTGTCAAATATATAAAAAGTGGGCTTACTTCTAAAAAACTACAACACAAAGCAAGCGATATACAATTTGCACAAACAGCTTTAACACAAACATATAAAACACAAACACATAAACACACAAACATATAAACACACAGACGTAAACACAAAAATATTACATCAACAACCCTTCATGCAGGACTATTAACTAAAAAAAACTGAAATCGTTATTAAAACGTCATAATAATTACATTATTTTACATAAAACACACAACCTATTAATGCTATCTCTACACGAGACGAACGAGCCATAGACAACTTTTTTTTTAAATTAATACTGATCTATGCAGCCATCGTTATGCCTAATAATACAAACCTTTCATCGCATCTGCAATGCATTAAAGTATTTATACGCCAGTTGTATAAACCATACTTCTTCTCCATCCCACCGATCCAAAAGGGACATCTTAGATCGTGGACCCGACAGCATCTGTCGGTCCGCGTATAACCGCCCAGTTGGGAATATCTGGTTGCCGAATATCCTTTTCCACACCATTTCGTTCCCGGGACACGTAGCAACTCCATGGAATCCCGTTTTTTTCTGTTAATTTTTTTTTTGTTATTTCGTTACCGTGTTCGACGTGAACAGATCACGCCAATGTAATGACCTCAAGTCTCTATTGGACCACCAACGTTTTTGGCCTTATCGTTTATAATGCTATCCGTCATACAAAACCATAAATCTGCCTACACATAGATCACTAGAATTTTTACAACGTCAACTTAGATGATAAAATTGTAACAAATGTTTTTATTTAACGAACGCGCCTAATAAAATTAGATAAGACCGTATACGAAAGTGTCTTGAGCCTATTTAATTTTAAATTTTTATTACTCACGAAAGAAAATTTTAAATGTTATTTACAATAATTCAAATTTGGTTATCGACTTACAAAGTTTTATTTGACAGTATAATACACCCAAAACCAATTCCAAATCGCAAACATTTGCAGATTTTGATACTAGACAGTATCAGAAAATCTGAAGCTACCAAAAACCCTGAAGCTCAAGAACATGAAATAACTAACCTCCTATCGCACTTACAGTGCGAAATCGTGTACGGTCTGAAGTTAAAAAGTCCAAATCTTCGTCGGAAAGCGCCGATGTTGATACGACAGTTGTCATGCGTTCTACAGCACCTATCTTCCTTTCTATCCACCCCCAAATCGTTGTATTTCTCTGCCAATTGTCCCGCACCGCACCATTTTGTTCCAGGCATTATGAAATTTTCCCTGAGTGATCTGCGCGACCTGTCATCCATGCATGAAATGGCGACTGAATTGTATATTTTTATTTTCCAAAAGTTTTTAAATGATTTTAAAGTGAAGCCTTAATATTGTTGCGAATTCCTAAATGTCCAAGAAAGCAAAAAAAAAACTCAAGTGATGATAAATGATGATGATTCTAATTAGAAGCCATTGCAAAAGGACAAAGTAGGTTTTTCTTAGTACTTATATAAAAGATTCTTAAATTTTTGCCTCTATGAATGATTCTTTTTGTTTTTAATATATTCATTAAAATTATTTTATAATATTATAAGTTTTGTTTACTTACTAATGATAAAATCCATTAATCTTATTATTATCTGTTGTTCAAAATTAGCATTTGTCAAGACATTTATTTAATGTCAAAATGAACATTTTGTATTGCTTTTTATATAATTTTTAAATTTCATAGAAATAATGAAGTGAAAGAAATTAAAGATAAAAAATATTAAGCAAAAATGAGAATAATTGTGCAATAATATCGTGCGCATGAATTATATAGAAAATAAAAATTATTATACATATGGGTATTTTTAAATATGGCAACCTTGATTCTGACTTAATAAATATTAAAATTAATTAGTTTCCATTCTAAAAAGTTGATATATCCATGTTTTTCTCGAACGCATTCTTTTCCGCATCTTTTAAAAGTCTTACCATATACGAGTACATATTATAGACACATAATATGCCTTTTTTATAAAATAATGAATTAAATAGTAGAGGAAATAGATAATTTATATAAAAACGTTATAAATCCACGTAAGATCCATAGAGGTGCAGTGTGAAAGAGGTCATTGCATTGGCGAAAATATTTTTATCATAGACAATTTTATTTTTTTAAAGCACGTGCAAATATGGATGAAGGCAATGTGTTGTATGAAATACATACCTCGTGAGACCGTTCTCATTTTCTTTATTTTTGTGCTCCATCATATACGTTAATTCTTCATGCCTTTCAAAGCATTCTGTTTTTAATCTATCGTAATTGAACCATGACGCAATATTTGGCGGCAATTTTTCGCCATTTTTTAATAATCGAAATGTCACATTGCCAAAATGGCGGTAAAATTTCTCATTGTCCAATGATTTTTTCTCTTGTAATCTATAACTTTCTTCGTCTAACGCCATTTTTAATTCTTTTCTTAGTGTTTTAAGAAAATTTCTAGCAGATTTTCCTTCTGCTATGTACTCGCAATCTTGAATGACTCCATTTGGTGTGTATATTACTTGAACAAGATGTCGGCCGTCGGTGAGTTGGCGAAGTTTTAGACCCATTCTGTAACAAAAATAAATAATATTTTAAATAAACACGTCGGGAAACAAAAATACAAATAAATCCGCGACAAAATCCGAAAAGATAGTTTTATTTAAAATGTCAAATATTCGCGTAAATCTAAGAAAGTATTATAAGAAAGTATTATAAAAATAAATAATAATTAATAATAAAAACTGATTCTTAAAGTTTTTATTTTTCCATTTTTTATATAGACGTAATAAGCAGGTAATTTGTAAGAAGAAAGTTTTTAATGAACATATTCGATTAAACAAATTAATTAAAAAAAAAATATTGTTGATTTTTTAAGAAACCACTAGACCAATTTCGATAAAATTTATATGGGAACACCTGGGAAGTATACCCTTTGAAATAAAAAAAATATTTCCAAATCGGTTCAGGCGTTTTCAAGTTATTACTAATTAGTAAACAAAAATAAAAAAAAAGATTCCGACGATTCAGAACCTCGTCCTGTTTGGATATCGGTTAAAACTGATTGAGTTTGGCTTCCGTGGCTGAAATCGGTCAGGAGGTACTTATCTAGGTAAAAAGAAGTTTTTTTTTAAGAAATTCGACGTTTTTGAATCCAAGTGACTTCCTGAAAATATATGTATATCGACTTAATACTAGATAAACAAAGCAAAGATCTTCACTCGATTGGTCAAGTTAAGTAAAAAAAATTCCAAAAAAGGAACCAAACCTCTATGGAGTATGCTATTAATATAATACTAAGTCCACAGACATTGTTATATATCCAGATATAGATATAATTGAAAATAATATATCGATATATTATTTTGTAATTTGATAATCGACCCTAAGTCAATAAACAATAAAAAAAAATATACCCATCGATTCAATACAGAAGTGCATTAAGTCTTTCGTTCAAAGTTACGCCCAAAACATGTTAAACAAACCTATTTGACATTTAAAGTTTCCCAAGAAAATATTTCATTGTGTAATAAATCATTAAAGGCATAAGTAAAAATGAATCTATACGTGTATATATGAGTAAAGGTACATGGTTATATTTTAAAATAACTTTATAAATAAAAATAATTGTTTCTTTGTATAAATATATGTTGGGACATTAAAACGCAGCACCATCTAGTTCCATGGTAAGCTACGAAGCTTGTGTTATGGATACCAGATAGTTGATACACTACACATATATAACTTTAAATACATACATATTATAAATATAAACACCCATGACGAGTACAAATATTCGTGCTTATCACACAAATGAATGCCTCCAGTGCGACTCGAACCCGCGACTGCTGGCACAGCAAGTAGGGTCATTACAAACTGAGCCAAACATGTTGTCAATATGTCTGCAATCTATGCGTTTTTAAACCACGTAATATTTATTTGTTTGTATGTAGAGGTTAATTTAAAAGAATCAATAAAATGCTAGAATTTTTTTATAATAAGCAAGCAGCTCAAATGCACCACATAAGTGAAGTCACGAACGAAAGTTAGTCTATACCTATAATAAAATTCTAACTGAGCCGAATCTGTAAGTACATGAAATATTTTTTGGAAAATCTTATTGAAATAGACATTATTATCGATACAGAGGCCGAATCTATAGTTTTTAAAATTTTTGTCTGTATGTCTGTCTGTATGTCTGTCTGTTACCGCATCACGGAAAACCATTGGATGGATTTTGATGAAATTTGGTATGATGATAGCTGATTATCCGGGTCAACATATAGGATACTTTTTATTACGGGAAAATATCTCATTTCTGAGAAATCTATATTAAACGTTAAAACGTAAGTAGGGACGAACCCGAGCGGAGCTAGGGTGAGTCGGTAGTATAACATAAAATTTACAACTTGATTCTATTAATCGCTTTTCAATCCAATGTACCGCAATGGTTGTATCCACCCCCTGACATTTTGATGCGATGGACAGCTAATGCAAGAGGGAGCCAAGTTTATTTAAATACCCTAATTTATACAGATAAATAAAATTGAAGTGTCTGTTTGTAAAGTCAAGAAAAAAAACTTATTGCTTAATGCATATGAAATTATATACGGTACTTAGAGTAAAAATACAATTTTTTAAATTTTTGTATGTCTTTTTGTTTGTTCCGGATAATCTCTGAACATAGGGAGTAACATAGGCTACTTTTATTTTAGAAAAAGAATTAGGGTTCCGCTCAAAAAAAGTAAAACGTACCTAGTTAAAAATAATTCAGAAGCATGAAGATTATAAAAATAAAAATTTCACCTTTATTTAAATCACACGCATATTCCCTACTAGCATTGTCCGCGGCTCCGCCCGCGTTCAGATGACCAAAAATCAAATTCTTAGGTTTACATATTAGTACACTCTTAGATTGCAGTTTTTGTACTTTTTCTCAGAAATGAGATATTTTCCCGAGGTAAAAAGTATCCTATATGTTGACCCGGATAACCAGCTATCACCATACCAAATTTCATCAAAATCCCTCCAGTGGTTTTTATGTGATGTGGTAACAGACAGACAGACAGACAGACAGACAGACAGACAGACAAAAATTCTAAAAACTAGATTCGGCCTCTGTATCGATAATAATGTTTATTTCAATAAGATTTTCCAAAAAATATCTAATGTACCGATTTGGCTTAGTTACAATTTTATTATATAGATTGATGAATTATTTTGACATTACAAACAGACACTTCAATTTTATTTATCTTTATAGATGTAATGTCTATTTTGATTAAGAAAATAATATTTAAAAAAAAGTACAATTAAGTATGGTGAGAAGTTCAAAGTAGTTGAAACGCAAAACCACTGGTCAGACCAAATGTGATGTCAGAGTATATCATAACAGAGCGATTAGCGATTTTGTCGCTATAAATTGAGTCGTTATTTCTCTGTGTATATCATACTGTGACGTCACGCCGAGCGCGCGGAATGGCGGGCATTTATAGCATCCGTATCGGTATGACATTGTAAAAAAAAAATTATACTAATTTTTTTTTGAGCTGGATATTTTTTTACAATTATATAACAATGTAAGCTATTGTATATAAAATTAAAAAAAGTCACGTATATTCCATATTGGACAATATCGCGTGTAACCACGCGTGGAACCATATTGCATAACCTTATCCAAATCTCCCCATACATTGGGGACATCTCAATTTCTCCCATCCTAATTTTATTATTAAAAGTGTGTTTAGGCAATAATTTTTATTATATGTTAACTATTACAACCCTCTGTCGGGACATTTTGTTACTTGATATGCTTTAATAGCTTAGCTTTTAAAAGTAATTCAATGCTAGGTAGGACATATATATAAAAAGTATCCTATATATTGACTTGGATAACCAGCTACCATTATACCAAATTTGATCAAAATCTGTCCAGTAGTTTTCTCGTGATGTGTTCCCAAACACAGACAGATTAACAAAAATTCTAGAAACTACAGATTAGGCCTCTGTATCGATGATAATATCGGTGAAGGAAAACATCGTGAGGAAACCTGCATGTCTGAGAAAACCTAGCAAGTTTTCGAAAGACATGTGAAGTCCGCCAATCCGCACTTGGCCAGCGTGGTGGACTATGGCCTGATCCCCCTCGTATGAAGGGAGGCCCGTGCCCAACAGTGGGATGTTAAAAGGGCTGAATACATACATACATCGATAATAATGTCTACTTCAATAAGAATTCCAAACTAGATAGCTTCTTCATTGTATTTCCCAACTTAAAAAAAAGGTTATATATATCAGGCGACCACTAGTTACATATGTAGGTATGTACGTAAAAACCCCACTCACATATCAACTATCAAACTAACTACCGCCAATGCATCTGTTAATCCCAAGAGATGTAACATTACTCCATACAGTGTTGTTATTTATAGTTGTATTTTCTAAACAGCAGCTAGTTTTGTTATATGTATGAAGCCATTTTTTAACGTCCCACTGCTGGGCACGGGCCAGTCAGGTAATAGTCCACCATGCTCGTCAAATGCGGATTGGCGGACTTCACATAAGTACTTATCTTTCGAAAACTCGCTAGGTTGTTTAGACATGCAGGTTTCCTCACGATGTTTTCCTTCATCGAAGACAAGTGGTAATCATGTTGGAAATGATTCGCACATGAATATATCAGAGATGCAAGATTCGGAATTGGAACCCGCTTCACTAGATTTCGCAAGCGAACACGTTACTATTGGGTACCATACCATTGGGTATATCACTTTTTGTTATATAGAGGAAAAAAATGTTTACAATATTTATGGATATTACTATTACTTACGTTATAGTAATATGGAGTCGGAGGCAAACATACACGTAGAGACTCGCAGTAATTATAAAAATATATATGTATATATATGTATGTATATGTATAATATAATATATGTCCTATATGTATGTGGACCCGGATAGCCAGCTATCATCATACCAAATTTCATCAAAATCTGTCCAGTGGTTTTCTCGTGATACAGTCACAGGCAGACCGACAGACAGACAGACAAAAATTCTAAAAACCATAGATTCGGCTTCTGTATCGATAATAATGATTATTTCAATAAGATTTCGCAAAAAATATTTAATGTACAGATTTAACTCAATTAGAATTTTATTATGATATATTTTAATATGTATAGATGAGAGACGACAAACAAACAAACATATAAATAAACAAAAAGTTTTTATTAAGACCGATGTACGCAACTGTACCAAAATGTATATAATATTAAAGCAATATTAAGCAAAAATGTAATAGTTAAATGAACCGTGATTAGAAGTGATGGGGTCACTATACACCCCAAGTATATGGTTTGTAATTTAATTGTTAAGCGACAGTGCATCTAGCTTGTTTTTGGAGGGTGACCGATTTGGATATTTAATTAAATAATCATTTATCTGTGTATACAAATAAGTAAAAAAGACGTATCTGAACTGAAGTTTGTTATGTCAAAATAACAACTTTTTACATATGAAAGTATGTAAGGTAGGTTCGGGTAATAAGGCCTAGCTAAGGGAGATTTGAAAT